CTGAGTAGAGGTTGATGGTGAGGGATTATTGGAAGATGATGTCTCATATGGTTCATCCTTAACATCCTTGGCCATAAGACATATATAGGCCATGTCTTCCTCGTCCGAGAATGATTCTTCAGATGAATCAACCTAGTCATGTTCTTCAGAGTTAAGACCTTTGCCTTTACGCTGGAGATTCTTTAGATTCTTGTACTTCTCCTTCAATTTCATGTATTTGTCATTTTTAGGTCTGAAGGAGGATGAGATGTTTGAAGATGGATTTGCAGCTTTCTTTTGACCTGCATTCACTAGCAAAGTGTCCTTTGCGTTGACAGTTAAAGCACTTAGTCGAGGCCTTTGTCAATAAGAATTGACTTTGGCTTGTCAGCGATAGTCAGAGAAAGAGATTTGCGGAAATTACTTTTTTTGGAAAACCTTCTGAATAGTTTGTAAGGAGGGCGAACGACTCTTCAAACTCTAATAAATCAGCTCTATTAAGTCCTCGGAGTTAGAAGGATCTTACTCGGTGACTAAAAAAGAAAAAGAAGGAGTAGAAGAAATAGAAGGATCAGCTGAAGGGATTTCAGAGATCAAAGCTAAATGAGAGTTTATCATTTCTCCGGAGTCTTTAAGAAGATTTTTCTTCAGCTGACGGGATTGCTCATGAATAAGTAATATCTCATAAAGAGAGCTAAGGGAAAGGGAGGACATATCCTTAGACATCTTGAGACATATGGTATAATTATCCCATGATTCTGGAAAACATTCTAGGAACTTTTTCAGGGTCTCAAAGTTGGAATATTCTCTTTCAACTGTCCTTAAATCAATAAGAAAACAAATGTTGATGTACATCAAACAATGATTTAGATTTTCCATTAAGAAAACTTTCATATTGTCTTACTAAATTTATCTTCCTCGATTCTTTACTTCTAAAGTACCTTCATATTGAACACAAAAAATGTCCCACATGGTTTTCCAGATTTTTAACTTCATAACGGAGTGATAAACCTCGTTAGGAAGAGATATGACTATTTTAGTTCTAGCTCAAGTATCTAAAGCCATTTTCTTCTTGTCTCCATCACTCCACTGATGAGGTAGTTTCGGAATCTGCCTTTCAGGAATGACGACAGTCGTAGTAGTAGCAGGAACTGCTGGAAAAATTGCAAATGGAACATAAGGTCCAGTTTTAATATAGTATGGAATCTCAGGATCCACACCTTCTAAGAAAAGAGACATCCGGTTCTTTCAGAGACTGAAGTTGTCTCTAACGAACCAGGGTGGTTTGGCAAGAGTGTCATTGTCGTGATAGTTTGTATTTGTGTTTTGCAATGCCATTAGAATGGTAAATATTATCTAGAAAGAAGACATAATAAAACATCAATAAAACACTGATAGATACTAAAACAAACATTGCTATGATACTACTTGTTGGTCCAGCCGGATCTACAAGAATTTAAAGGTAACAGTTTGTAAAAAGGAGGGAAATGAATACAAACACATTAACTTTCACTTTTAAAAATCTTTTACTAATAAAGAAGATCAATCCAGAATTTTACATATTGTTTGCGGAAAAGATAAGATATATAACTTATCTAAACAATCAAAGAAACGCACAAGATATAGAAAGCAAGAAAGAAAAGACTTGTTAAAAGAAAAGGTTAATAAGTCTTGTGCTCTACACTGGTTAGAGTGGTTGAGGGAGATGGGGGAGAGAGAGAGAGATGAGAAGGAAGAACTTCTAATCTATTTATACCTGTTGCATTAAATGCAAATCAGACAGTACAAAGCATGTGGCAAGCTTCTAGAGGTGAGTTTGTCCTTTGTTGCAGATATACAGGCTTCTGCGGTATATGAACAGTAGTCTTTCACAAAGTAGGTAAGCACACTTGGAGACAATAGAGTGACTCCGTACAGTACTTTTACTTTGAGAGGTATGAGTTTGTTCTTTATGTGTAGAAAGACAAGATAAAAACTAATCTTTGTTCAACAAGATTCATTTGATCGCCAACACAGGAATAACACTGAGGTTTCTTCAGTGTTCGCTGAATCTTGAGTAGATTTCACACTTATGTAGACAGACTTGTTATCATTGAAAACCACATCAGATCACGAACTTGCTTGTCTCTGTCTTCAGCTTTATCTTCGATATCGCTGAAGGTTCCGTGGTGTAAATTTTTGTCTTTCTGAAGAATACTTGTCTCTGAGAGAATTACAATACATGTTCAACGATCACTGAATAGACTTAGTGATGATTGTTGAAGATGAATAAGAAGAGTACACTTCGTAAGATAAAAAGGATCATCATCAAATCACTAAGAGAGATGATCAACATAAAAGTCTGTTATGTCTAAAGAACAAGGACAAGCATTCCACTCACCTCTTGACACATGGATTGTACCTTCTGAGGTGCATTTAATGTAATGGTATAAATAGCTGAGAACTCTCATCTTCTTAGCTAATTCTTTGTTTCTACATCTTCTAACTCCCTTTTCTCTTGTTCTTATCCTTGCAAGAAAACTTAGTGATTCTAAGATTGTTTAGATCAAGACTTTTTCTTTTCTAGTTCCGCAACAATCTGTTAATACCTCAATGATTCTTCTTTAATCAATACAAGAATTTAAAATGTATAATTTGTGTGCTTGTGCACACCTCCCTTCTACAAACTGTTTATCTCTTGCAGAACCCTTTTTGGGACCAACAATTTATTTACCTCATTTTATGGTGTCACATTGTATCCTTTTGGCCTCTTTATAAGTGCTCTGATACCGGTCATTTTTCAAGAGCCTTTATAAAGGTAAAGATCGACTTTTGTTGAGTTATTAATGTCTAATCAGTTACCTTGATGAATTAATGAGGTAAATCTTAATCACAAATCTCTGATACCTGTAATTAATATCAAATGTAACCGATGTCGTGGTTAACATAAAGTAATGAATATCGTTAGCTTAGTATGTCGAGGATAATCACGATTGTGGATTGGAAACCACGACCATGAGTTGAGGCTCTTGTAGTTGAGGATAACGACCACAGGTCGGGGACCTCTTAGTTGTGGGAATCCTGGTCGTTGATAGATGGTATCCTGATGGTAAGGGGTGCGAATTTCTTACCAAAACTACTTTCTACATAAAACCCCTTAAAAGCTTACTGAATAAGCCATTTCTATATTATGAAGCTACTTCCAAACAATCATTTATAATTAATCGAATAAGCACCAAGTTTCATTAAGCTGTTAACAAACAAAACTTTACTCTCTATTTTAACAGTTATAACATTAATTATGTTATTAAAATATTCAAAAGATAAAAATAATAAGATTTTTTTTCTATTTTATTCAACAGAATCATCAAGTGCTTAAGGGTGACAATTTTGTACCAAACCAAATCAACCAACATGTCTACTAATCGTACCAATTAAATTGGTACCAACTTAATTGGTATCGATTATTGTCGGTTGGTAGTACCGTACCAAGTATGCAAACTTGGTTGATACACAATATTGAAAGTTGCATACCATGGCAGTACCATGGTATCGACTTATTTTTTTTATTTGTTTTGTGTATTTTTATGTATTTTGTTTTAAATCTTGTAATTCTAATTATTTTATTTAAACATTTGAATGTTTGCAAGTTTTATTCATTGTAATTAAAACCCATTAAACATCACATGTGTTGCTTGAAAACTCAAAATTTCACTTACATTTTGATTTTTTTTTTTTTTTTTGCAATTTTCATATGAGAAAAGTCTAAAAAATTCCAATAGACTTTAGTGTTTGGAATGATTAAGTGCTTGGACAATTTTTTGGAATAAATATGTCATTAGACATTTGAGAATGATTAAGTGCTTGGACAATTTTTTGGAATAAATATGTCATTAGACATTTGA